CACTTTTCTATACACAAGATGTCTCAGAACTGGAACGAAGTTTAGCATTACTTCAAATTAAATTTTCGTTCTTAAGAATCTCAAGCAATTTTCCTTATTTCCACTCATCATCAGAATAATATCAACAAAATTTTCAATCTACCCTAGTCCATTTGGATCCAGTCTGAGCAAAATTGTAACAAAATCTGAACTTTTGTTGTCTGATCAAGCTTTTTGGAGCCGATTGGTTCTCTATTTTCTAGCGTTTCAATCTGTTATGTCCTAACTTTCATTGATTAGTTGTATGCAGCAGCCTACATAGCATGGCCACCCATCACATTACATCACCTTATGCTCATTTTCTTTTTAATAGCAACTGATCCACGACATTAGCAACTGAGCATTTTACTAGCAACTGAGTGGGCAATAGCAACTGAGAAACTAGCAACTTTTAGAAAAATAGCAACTGAGCTAAATTTACTAGCAACTGATCCCCTATAGCAACTGAGACAAAATTAGCAACTGAGTAAATAGCAACTGAGCAGCGAGTAATTGAGTATTTGCCGGTTATGTTCCAAATAATTTCCTGATCATTTTTCACCTTTCAGAACTCAAAAATATCCATTTTGAGCCAAGTTGTGCTAAATTTTGTGAAATTGCTCAGAATAAAATTTTCCAGTATTTAGACTAAAACTTGGCTCAAATTGTAGATTTCAACCTGGTTTTTGGGCCAAAATGTAGGAAATTTGAAATCTCATCTAGTCATGTAAGAATCTCAAGTAAATTACTCGGTGGCCTAACTTTCTCAATATTTGGTTTTGTAGGCCACCATGCCAAATTTGGGTGAATTCTGTTCCAAATGACTTCCTGTTAATAATCCACTTTACAGAACTCAACAATATTGAGTTTAAGTCGAGTTATGCGAAATTTCGTGAAATTGCTCAGAATAAAATTTTTCAGTTTTTCAATCATAACTCGGCCTAAGATGAAGATTTCAACTTGTTTTCAGTATCATTTCAAAAGGAATTTAGCGGCAAATTTAGCTATATACAAATCAAAGCCTAACATAAAAATGGTTTGGTGGCCCAACTTTCTCAAAAATTGGTTTACTAGGCCACCACACAAAATTCTGGTGGGATCTGTTCCAAATGACTTCCTGATCATTATCCTTTTGTCAGAACTCAAAAATAATGATTTTGAGTCAAGTTATGCTAAACTTTGTAGTATTGCTCAGAATAAAATTTTTCAGTATTTTGGCCGTAACTTGGCTGAAAATGAAGATGTCGAGTTTGTTTTTGGACTAAAATGTGGGATATTTCAAGGAGCATCTTCCCGAAAATTATCAGAACTTTTTAGAAAAATTTATATAAATTTTAATTTTCTTGACCACCGTGCAAAACTGTTTTAGATTCTAATTACTGATTATTAATGATAAAATTTTCATTTTTGTGAATTTTAGAAATAAAAACAGATCCCTTCTCCCCTCTATTTATTTTATTCCCAGCAGTTCCACCATTAAACTCCTTCTTCTCAAAATAACTGCCCCGCACCACTTTTCATTCCAAGAAAAACGTGCGCTTCTTGGAATTCCATGGAATTCCCTTGGATAGCTTTGCACCAAACGGAAGTTCTTACTCATTGAGCAAGTGAGGGACACCTCAAACATCAATATTCATCTCTGAAAATAGAAACCTGAAATTACTTGAGAATAAGTAAGAAAGAGAACATTTCAAGTGGTGTGTTTCGAGAATATGAGAGTGACTAACAGGTGAATATTTGATGGAGTTAGCAGAGAGCAAGTTAGTTTTTTGACGTTTCGTGGAGCTCAAAATCCGTTAGTTTCGTCAAAAAAGAGCTGCTACTTCAAGATCTGCTCAATTTTATGGAATTGCTCAGAATAAAAATTTCCAGTATTTGGGCTATAACTCGGCTCAAAATGAAGATTTTCGACTGGTTTAGTGAGCAAGATGCAAGTTACTTTGTTGACGTTTCGTGGAGCATAGATTTTTCTGGCTCCGAACGCCAGATAAAGTTGCACCTAACTGTTATTTTCCAAAGCTAAAAATCTGAAGATGCTTCTGAAAACTGATTTTCTGAAACATTTTGTCTGAAATTGTATGTATTTTGTTCCAAATCACTTCCCGATCATTTTCCACTTTTCAGAACTCAAAAATATCGATTTTGAGCTGAGTTAGGTTCAAGTTTGTGGAATTGCTCAGAATAAAATTTTCCAGTATTTCGACTATAACTGGGCTCAAAATGAAGATTTCAGCCTTTTTTTAAACCAAGCGGCAGGAAGTTCGAAAGCGCATCTAGTCTTATAAAAATCTTTAAAAAATGGCTTTGTGGCCTAACTTTCTCAAAATTTGGTTTTCTAGGCCACGATGCCTAATTAGGTGGATTCTGTTCCAATTGACTTCTTGATCATTTTCCACTTTTCAGAATTCAAAAATATCGAATTTGAGCCGAGTTATACTGAATTTTGTGAAATTGCTCGGAATTTTCAGTTGAGAGAAAAGACTCTTGGCTGCACCTTTAATTTTTTTACAATTCAACAATAACCTGAAAACTCTAATGATAATTCTGTTATTTTGAGCAATTAGGACTTCATGAAGCTTCAGACATACTGCGCCTTTAAAATAAAACTTCTCAAGTTTCCAAGATTCGTTATTTTTTTTCGGGTTTTTTCTTCATCATCTTTCGGAAAATAAATGACGAATATTTGAAAAGAAATTTCTCGAAAGGAGATTATCATCATCCTACATTTCAGATTTTTACATGTTTTGCAAAAAAAGATTAATTTTTAACATTTTCTAAAAACGTTCGTTTTTCGGATTACACATGGTTTCAGACATCGATGATGATGTTGAAATGTATTGAGAAAAAAACAATTTTCTAGCAAAAATAAATTTTTGATTTTTGCCACGGAACAAGGCATAGGTTGTTTTCAGAACGATAAGGACAGTTTTTTGGAGAGCCCTCTCGGATAAATGGCCTGCGCCTTTAAGGTAAAATTGCTCATCCCTTCTTCATAGAATTTGAGTTAACAAACTCTACGAACTTGACTCATAATTTTTTTCTTCATTTTTTCAGCCAACTCTTAATCCTTTCTCCCTAATCTTTCTCATATCCCCTCTCCTTCATAACACTTTTTTTTCCTTTCATAATCTCATTTGATTTGAGCCCTTCGGCTATTCAATCAGAGCAACTTATTCAACTTTTGGCCTATGGACTACGGTAGATACATCAAAGTTTATCACATTTTTGAAGCATTTTTTCATTCAAAGCTCTTTTCTTTTCTATTGTTCAGAAAAAAAGGAAAAAGAAAATTGGTTTTTGGTTTGAGTGACTGAAGGGCATTCACTCAAACAAGATGAATTGAAATCGGAAACAAAATAGAAAGCTCGAATTTTTCTGCTCGAAATGTGAATGCGTTTCTCAAGATATTGAAAATTCATTCCGAGATCCTATCTTACCATTGAGACGCATCAAAAAGGTCTACACAGAAGAAAAAAAATTGGCCTACTTGAGCTCTGAGCTCGTGGTAATTTCGTCGATTTCGGGGCGGGAAGTAAAGATTTTTGGGACTTGTTTTGAAATCGTGCTCTTTTTTTTCAATTTGACTAAGACTGTATAAAATTGTCGTGCGACTTGCCCGTACTTTAAGCGAGGAGAAGCTTTTACATTGTAGTTGGTGAAATTGATCAGAATAAAATTTTCCAGTTTTTAGACTATAAATTTGCTCAAAATGAAGAATTCGGGTCGGTTTTTCGAGCAAGTTATGTAGAATTTGAAGACGCATCTAGCCTTATGAATTTCTATAAATAATATAAAAATAGTTTGGTGGCCTAACTTTCTCGAAATTTGGTTTCCTAGGCCACCACACAAAATTTCTGTGGATTCTATTCCAAATGACTTTTTGATCATTTTCCACTTTTCGGAATTCAAAAATATCAAATTTGAGCCGGGTTACACTCAATTTTGTGAAATTGCTCAGAATAAAATTTTCCAGTGTTTCGGCTATAAATCGGCTCAGAATGAAGATTTTGGGCTGGTTTTTGAACTAAATTGTAGAGAATTCAAAGGCGCATCTAACATTATAAGCTTCAAATATGTCTCGAAATTTGTGTTTCTAGGCCACCAATCCAAATTTTGTGGATTTCGCTCCCTGCTCGTTCAAGGTAACTAGATAGACAAACTCCTGCTCCATAAAACTCGAGAAAATTCCAGTTTTTTTTAAATCATCCAATTGGTCACCAAGAATTCCCAGACAAAAACCTGATGACTAACCGACCAAAAAATAGTGTCATTTCCATCCTCCAGGATTTTATGACACATTCCGTTCGCTTCTTTTTACTTCCCTATTCCTTTTTCAATGATCTCCTTTTTCTCTCCAATGTCTGCCCTCTCTTCAACTCCCACACTATTTTTTTCAAGTTGGTCTGAAAAAAAAATTATTGGATGCATACTCTGTGCTTCTTTCTTCTTCTCCTTCTTCTATGGCGCTCCCCCTTGAAGGTCTCGTGAGCACCCAGGGAGCCCCACCCTCTAACGTCTTCTGACTGTCTGCCACTCTCTCACTCTCTATCGATTCAATTCAACGGACGCGAGAGCTCACTCATTTCAGAGGGATGCGGGCCTCCTGCCTCTACGCCGTGGCCTTTTTGGCTTATGCGTCATCAGCACTGCCCGTCGATTATTTCTATGGGGATCAACAGCAGCAACAGCCAATCGAGGAGGGTGAGGAGAATGCCGTCAATTTTGAGCAGGACAAAGAGGATGTGAGTCAGAACTGTTTTTTTAACCTCAGAGGCGTATTTAGGAAAAAAAACAAAAAAGATTTGCCTCTAGTGGGATTGAACCCCCGATGCGAGATTCATAGACAAAAGCGCTAACCACTAGGCCACCGGTTCGCTGCTGGTTGTGCGCCTTAACTGTAGCGCTACCCGCTGTCCCTGGCGGCTTCAACCTTCGAAAGGGCGCCGGCTTCTGTATGCCCTCTACACCTCTGTCGTCATGTCGACCCGTGGCGTAGCGGTTAGCGCTGTCGTTTTGTAAACTCGCATCCGGGGTTCAATCCCCGATGGGGTCAAATCTTTTTTTGCTTTTTTTCTAAGACTATATTTTGAGTTCCTAGACCATTTCTCAAAGTTTATTTTCCAACTTAGAAGGGCACCAGGCTACCATTTACCCCAAAAATCCTGAAAATCCGCCTGCAAAAAAAGGTTGTAAATCTTTTGAGCCCCATCATAAACTTTGCTCATTATCCGCTTTTGTTTATCCGCCTAGGCCCGGGGGTCAAAATCCAAAAATGGCTAGAATGGAGCCCAAAATTCTGCACTTGCTCCGCGCATCGTCATTTGGTCTCGGTGCTCATTCTGACTTCAAAAAAAATTGAGGGGGTGGATTAGGTACCTAGAACAGGTGAAAGTGCGAATTCTAGAGAACACTGTCATTAGAGCGAAGTTGCGTCATCATCTAGCCTTTAATAAAGGTAAAAATGACTTGTTGAAAGTGCGCTTTAATGAGAATCTTGGCGAAAATTCTCAATGGAGCGCACTAGGGCATTTCTAGTCAAAGTGCGCTCCATAGACAAAACTGACTGGAATTCTCAATGGAGCGTGGTTGCGTAGTGCTCAATTTTTCAAAAAGTGATGTCTGAATGAATGATTAATGAGTTCTCTCCTCTTGAAACGTAAGCGCTCTCTCTCTCTCTCTCTCTCTCTCTCTCTCTCTCTCTCTCTCTTTCTTTCTTTTCAATTATTTAGTATTCCCACCATCTTTGCTCTCTTTTTTTCTGTCAGTCACCGACGAACACGAGTTTTTCTTGGAATTCTAAATTCTTAGGGTTCCTGGAATTTTTTTCAGAGCTCCACTACAAAAAGGGAGCACTTGAGTCTAGGGAGAAGAGGGAACCCAAGATGACGTGAAGATGACTGCCTCGAGGCATTATTTATTTCCGCTTCGTCCTTTTTTTTGTGTGGCCCGTTTTGTGCTCTTCAAGGCTCTAGACGGAGTTCCAGGGCAGCTCTTTGAGGGTGGCAGAGGACTGTTCTCTCTCTCTCTCTCTCTCTCTCTCTCTCTCTCTCTCTCTCTCTCTCTCTCTCTCTCTATCTCTCTCATTTCCTTATCCAAAAAAGCCTATCCTCATAGTCAGAAAAAAAGAAGAAATTCGAACCGGAAATATTTGTGTGGGAGTCAGTCAGTCAGAAATTGGAAGAGTATAATATAGCTGAGCTCTCAATGTCATTTCCATCATCATCATCTCCTCATCTTCTTCTTTGTTCCCTTTGAAAGAGGTGTCATCATTCAGAATTCCATTGGGAGCAAAAGAGAGAGAAAAAGAGACTTCTCATTAGTGACAAAGTGTTTTTTTTCCATTTTTTTCCCAGAGTGTGGGAGGAAAAACATGATTGAAATTGCTTCGGAGAGAAGGAGAAAGAACGAAAAATGAGAAAAAAAAGCGGAAACACAAAAAGTGCAATTTTTGGGTTTTGAAAAACTGGAAATTTCAAAAAATACAATGCTGGGTCGTCAAACTTCAAGCCAGAATACTTTAGAAAAAAAGCAAAAAAGATTTGACCTCACTAGGAATTGAACCCGCGATGCAAGATTCATAGACAGGAGCGCTAACCACTAGGCCACTGGTTCACCGCTTTCACTGTAGTGGTGGCGAACGTCATGGGCGCCTTCAGTTTTTGAAAGGGCGCCGGCTTCTGTAGGCCCTCCACTCCTCTACTGTTTTGTTGACTCATGGCCTAGTGGCTAACGCTCGCGTTTTGGAATCTGGCTACCCGGGTTCGACCCCAGGTGGGGTCAAATCTTTTTTGCTTTTTTTCTATGGTATTGTGTTGGGTTTCTAGGTGATTTTAGAAGTGTTTAGGCAATTTTCGGAAGTTCCTGAATCACTTTTAGGGCTGTTTAGGACGCTGAAATGGTCGTTTTAGCCCGTTCTAATAGACACTCCTTTGATAGGATATTCCAAAGCCACGAATTCTCAACAGAGCGCACTTACCCTCCCATCAATACCAATAAAAACATTCCAGATCGGACTATTCAAGCCAAGCAAAGAGATCGGTCAGGTCAGCGGCCTAGCCATCGACAAGGACGGACACGTCGTAGCCTTCCACCGTTCCGCCCGTGTTTGGGATGAGAAGAGTTTCAATTCAGATGAGACATTCAACAAGGACCTCGGAGTCATCAACAATAACACCATTGCAATCATCAATCGAGAGGATAGGAAGACCCTGGAGGAGTTTGGAGCAGGGCTCTTCTACATGCCCCACGGGCTCACCATTGATAACAATGGGGACTACTGGGTGACGGATGTTGGAAGTCATCAAGTCCATAAAATCGATTCGAAGACCAAGAAGATTGTGATGACTCTTGGAGAGAAATTGGTGCCTGGAGAGGATGAGAAGCACTTCTGCAAGCCGACTGATGTGGCTGTGGCCAAGAACGGACATATCTTCGTGGCCGATGGATACTGTAACAGTCGAGTGTTGAAGTTTGATGCCAAGGGCAATCTGATGGCTCAGATTAATGCGGCCATTGGTTAGTGTTTCGCGGAATTTCATTAGAGCGCACTTGACCAATAATGAGATTTCCTCCTCTTCCTGAGTGCAGGCCAAACATCACAAACCAAATTTTTTTTCAGAAGACAACCAATCTCCCGAATTCCTCGTCCCACACTCATTGGCTCTCATTGAGGATATGAACATCATCTGTGTTGCTGATAGGTTAGTGGGGGTACCTTAAAGGCGCACGTGGAATTTTTTTTGGAGAATTTTTTCAAAAAAAGTTTCGGCGGGGATTTGAATTTTCGACGATTTTTTTGGCGGGAAGTCGATTATTTTTACGATTTTTTTATTTGGCGGAAGTTCGAGTTTTCTATGATTTTTTCAATTAAAAAAAAAAAGTATTTTCGTCGTAATTGATTGATTTTTTGAACTGAAAGCAGGAAGAAAAAACCAATACCGATTGAAATCAAACTTGAAAAACTTTGAAAATTTTCGAAAAATGAAAAGTTCAATTTTTCGAAAAAAAAATTATTTCGCTGTTTTCTGATTTAGAATAATTTTTAATTAATCGAAAGAACTTGATTTCTTGGAAAAAAACACGAAAAATTGATAAAAAACAAGATTTGTTTTGCAGAAATTTAAAATTGCGCGTGATTCTCGTGGAGCGCACTTTGAAAAAAAAGTGACGCTTACCATTCCACGAATTCTGATTTTTTAGGAAACAACTCATATTTTGGAAAAAAAAACACGAGAAGTCGCATAAAATCAAAATTTATTTTTCGAAAATTCAAATTAGCGCGTGGTTTCGGTGGAGCGCACTAAAGACAAACTGTAATTCAAATTGTTGCGCGATCTCAATAAAGCGCCCTTGAATTCGATCTTTCTGCCGGAAAAAAATTCGGAAAAAATTTTTTAAAAAATATGAATTTCCACCAAAAATTCAAATTCCCGCCCCATCTCAATGGAGCACATTTGCAGTTTTCCAGAGAAAACCAACGTGTCCAATGCTTCTCGGCGGGTCTATCCGAGGGTGATCGTACCCTCCCAACCGGAATCCCAATCACCTCAGCCACCGACATCGGCCGCGTCTTCGCCATCCGTGAGCGTGAACACTATTTGATCGGTGTGACGGGTAAATCGGACGACGTCGAGGCTCAAATGTTCTCGATTGATATGCAAACCGGAAAGACTGAGACATTCGCCAAAGGATTGGTTCGTAACACTCATGCCCTTGCCATTGATGCTGATGGAGTAATGTTTGTCTCACAATTGGAGCCATCAAGAATTCTTGAAGTCAGCCTTTTGTAAAAAACTATGTGTTTTTTTTTTGCCGCGCTTGTTTCTTCTACTTAAAACCACACCTATTTCATTGTCGTCGCTGATGAAAAAAGAGAGAAAAATGAATATTTATCTTTTGTTATTCATGTGTTTTTTATTTTGTCCTGCACAATTTTTTTTTCGGTTTCTACGCTCCATCTCACACGTCCGTTTACAAATTTCATATTGCGTCTTTAAAATCTGACAGTAAGCCGCGCTTAAGCCGAAGGAGCGGGCACCATGTTTCCAGTGCACTTTTCAGTAATAACTTTCGATCAAATTCTGTCAATATTATATTCAACATGATGCGAAGAAAATTTCTATTCAATTTGATTCAAAAAAAGCTTAAACCCTGATTTTTAATTTTTCAACAAAATGAGAAAAATAGCTACGTATCGCTGAGTCGCTACGCAGTTAGAATGCGACCCTACAGTAAGACAGAGCCCGCGAATGAAACTTTTTGAAAACACGTACAAAAAAATTCACTGTGACACTGCTAAAACTCCTATAAACCCGGAAAAACCTCGAAAAAACCCTCGGAAAAACTCTGGAAAAATCCCGGAAAAAACCCAAAAAAATTCCGGAAAAATCCCGGGAAAATCCGGAAGAAACCTCGGAAGAAATCCCTAAAAAACCACGGAAAATTCCAGAAAAACTGGAAAAATCTACGGAAAATTCCGGAAAAACCGGAAAAAACTCCGGGAAATCCCTGGAAAATCCCGAAAAAATTCCGAAAAAAAAAACCCGAAAAAATCCTGGAAAAACCATGGAAAAACCGGAAAAATCTCGAAAAAATCTCGAAAAAACGTCGGAAATATTCCGGAAAAACAGGAAAAATCCCGGAAAATCCCTAAAAACTCCCGGAGAAATACCGTAAAATACCGAAAAAAAATCCCGAAAAAAACCAGGGAAATCCCGGAAAACCCGCGGAAAAATCTCGGAAAACGCCGAAAAAACGTTTCTCCGGGGTATTTCCAGTATTTTTTTTCAACATTATCAAAATCGCACATTTATTGAATGTTATATTAACATTTTTTGGGTGGTGGTCTCTTGGGGGGATAAACTAAAAAACGTTTTAAATTAATTTGTTTTGATTTCTTCGGGGTGTGGGTCCGTGGCGACAAATATACAGGGGTTTTTGACAAGTGTGGATGGGTTTTTTGGTGGGAAACAGAGAAAGAGAGAGAGAGAGAGAACTGGGCAACATCATGGTTTGAAATAAAGTACAAAAAACGGATACAGAAGGGAAACTGAGAAAACGGGGATGGATGGGAAGAAACACGGTATATAACAACACTACATGGGGGTGGGAACTCGTCAAAATTGGGGTTTTTTGGGTGATGCTAGTCATGGGGATTTATGGGGAACGTTTTGAATGAATTTTATCAGTTGAGAGATAAAACAAAAGTGAGAAAAAAAAAGAGATTTTTAGGCTTGAGTGAGGGGTTGAACGTCAGTTGGAAGACGGGAGTATGGTGGTGGGCGGGTAAAGTCGACGGCGAACGCCACGGAGGTCGATTGGAGTTGTTGTCCGATGGCTTCGGCGACCTGCAATTTTGAACTATTTTGGTTTTTTGCTTAGAAGGAGCACGCCTGCCTCTAAGCTATATGAGTGCTATATGAGTGCTCTGTTTTTCGAAAAAATGATACAGTACTATCTTCAATCGTGGTGAGACCCTCCAATTGAAGCAATATCTTCGAAGAAGCAAAACTCCGCTCAAAATAAAGCTTGGACTTTCGAAAAGCAACGAACTGAGAGCTAAAATTGTGCTCTATTCAATGGCTCAGGTTTTTTTTTCCGTAGCACATCATTTTTTTCTCAAATTTGACTAGGGCACCCCTAAAAAACCAAATATATCGCTATTTTCTGTATAGGGTTCCGCTCCCTACGATCTTACAATCGTTTTCCACTCTTCAGAGCTCAAAAATATTGATTTTAGGCCGAGTTATCCGAAACTCTGTGAAATCGCTCAGAATAAAATTTTCAGTTTTTTCGGCTATAACTCGGCTTGAAATGAAGATTCTGGTTTATTTTTTTGGAGCATTCAGTAGATAATTTGAAGACGCATCTGATCGTATAAAATTCAAAGCCCAGCATGAAAATAGTTTGGGGGCCTAATTTTCTCAAAATTATATCTAGGCCGTCATGCCAAAACCTAGGCCGTTATCTAGGCCGTCATGCTAAATTTGAGCGGATTATGTTCCAAATAAACTCCCAGTCATTTTCCACTTTTCAGATCTCAAAAATATTGATTTCAGGTCGAGTTATACCTAAATTTCATCAAATTGCTCAGAATAAAAATTTCCAGCATTTTGACCATAACTCGGCTCAAAATGAAGACTTTGAACTGGATTTCGCACCAAATTGTAAGGAATTTGAAGGCGCGTCCAGCCATTATTCTAAACTTACATTCTTGTCTCCATAGAAGGAGTAGCACTTGCAGACGACCTTCATACACCAGACATGAACCAACACCCCAGTGAAGTGGATCAAAATTGCGGATGCCGGATTCTCACTGTTCATATTCTGATATGACTTGGTATCAACGAAATTGATAATGTCAATCGATATCTGGAAGATTGCCAAGAACAAGGCGATGGCGGCGAATCCAATGTAGGGAATGAGAAGAGAACGACGATTCGTTCGGATACCATGAAGCATCATGAGGACGAGACCGAGTTGAAGAGTGAGAGCCGAGAGAAGTGAGGATACGTATCGTGCCATGTAGTAGTTGATTGACCACTCTTGGGAGGATCCCTCTTTCGTTTGATTCTCTTCGAGTTTCAGAGCCGAGGTGTAGGCGAAGAGAAGCGACACGGAGAAGAGGGCGATCACGAAGAGTTGCGTCATTCCGATGTATTTTGTGGCCTGGAATTAGTAAATTCGCTCTAATGTCAGCTTAAAGGCGCAGTCAATTCCGCCCAAACTACATAGCGAAAATTAAAGGCGCATCCAGTCAGGATCGGAGAGGTCTCACAGCG